AGGTCTCCACCCAGGAAATGGAGGTCGCCAATCCGGAAAGCGCCAACAACGCCAATAAGTATGACCAACTTCATCACACGCCCAGCAACGAACATCACGGCCACGACCACGTCCTCGTCCGTGTCCTTGGACTCGAGTAGCAGCAGCATCAACCTCCATGGGAACAGGACCATCACTCATAGAAAGTGGAGTGGAAGGACGTGCAGCGAGAAGTGGAAGAGGCGACGTCTCATAACGTTGTGCCAAGCGAAGAGCATCGTCAAGGGTGGCAGGAGCAAGTGCATGCACAAGGCCGACAAGATCTTGACGAAGTGCTGGCCACAACATTCCTAACTTGATCCGCTCCGATATATTGGGCTCCGCACGAAACAAAAGACTTCAGAAATGAACGCCAAATTGCATCACCGACTCAGATAGCCCTTGGCGAAGATGATGCAATTGTTGGAAGGCATCGTCACAATCGTCAGCATGTCCGAAGGCGCATTTGAAGACGTCCGGAAGAACACTCCAATCCTCACGAGTGGCCGCACTCAATCCATTGTACCACTGCAACGCCGTCCCTTGGAGGGACGACGTGGGAAACTCACGTAAACGTCGAGCATCATCCCAAGAATGATATGTGGCAATCACCATGAAGTGACAAAACCAATGGTACATATCATCCCCGGGATTCCCACGAAAGAACTCCGGCCGAACACGAGGATTGGCACCAAGAGCAGGAGGAGTTGGACCACGTGCCATGAATGCCGCCATCAATTGAGTTTGGTTGTTCAATTGCAAGCGCATAGCATCAAGCAACTGGACCAACTGCTGCTCGAGAGTTAAAGGAGGAGATTGCTGATCTGCCATGGAGATGAATGAAAAAAGGAAGAGCAAAAGAAGAGAAATGACAAAAAGCTAGAAGGAAATGGTAGATCTAGACAATGCAAAAAGCTAGATCTAAACCAAAATCCTGAAAGGAAAGAACAAAAAGAAGGAAATGAAAAAAGCTAGATCTAGACAATGCAAAAGTTAGATCTAAACCAAAATCCCAAATCCAAGCACTCCTTAGGGACAATCAAAGGTGCCCCTCATCTCCACCAATGTGAGTGCTTGGAATATGGAAAGGGAATACAGAAATGTGCATATCAATTAGCCCAAAAACCCTAGCTTATATACAGGAGCGAATGGTCCGGATTGAAACTAATCCGACGGCTACCAAAATCCCACTACGCTAATATTAGTATATGGCATCGTAGCCGTACACTTGGCCCTCACAAAATAATATTAAAAAATTCATTAAAGTTCATTTTTTATAAATTTCAAATATTTGTTAAGTGTAAAATATTATTTATTAAACTACCAACTTAAAAGTCTCATATGCCTAAAATGTTCTCTTCACTATCATCAAATTGTATGAATACATTTCTTTTATTACCAAAAATAGATCTATAATATATTTTCCTTTTTGTAATAACATTTTTAAATTTAATAATACTTAAAATGGGAGAATATTTAACATAAAATGAAGAATAAGATGAAATAATATTCATTTTCATAATTAACAATAAAATTTTTGAAAGATATATTCCAAATGATGTGACCACAATAATAATCTAGATAGATATGAGAATTTTCATAATTTATATTAAATATTGATTATAAACTAAACAAAAAACCTTAACATAAAACCATTAAAGTTAAAGTAATTAAATTTAAAATATATTATCTTTAAAAATTTAAAAACTTCATGGCTTTATAATTCAATCTAGATTATAAAACAGTTATGTAAGTTTTAGATTTTTTTTGTAACACAAAAAAGTATGAGTGATTCATTATTTTTCTTCTCTATATAAATTTTTTCTAAATAATTATTTAGACTGTAATAATTATTTTACTTTGAAAAGTTATCTATTTTTGCTTATTACTCTCTAATTTCTCAACAAATCAGATGTTATTTCTTTTTTTATAATGTGATATTAGAAGTTTTATATTATATTAATTTTTAAATTTTCGAGCTTGGGGCTAATTTTTTGCTTTAAATTATATTTATGCAATCATATTAGTGCATGAAAAGTTCTCAGATTATTTAAGCTTTTGCAATATAATATAAATACTTGTTTAATTATGTATTCTTTATTGGTATTTTAGTAAAAATAGTATATTTAACATATCTATTAGTTTAATTTACTATTTTTGGAGACTAAGATAGTGATCTTATAAATAGCCAAGGGAAATTTATGATTATTTTTAGTTCATTAATCTGTGCAAATTAATAAATGCATTTTTTGAACTAGGTTAAGTATATTTGACTAATAGCACTCAAGAATTCTGTTTTTATGCTCTTTTAGTTAAGAACACACACAAAGACTAGTTTCTTAACTAACTTGGGTGGAGACTAAAAAAATATCTAACAATACTATAGAGTGTCTCACCCCAGACGATCATCTCACAATTATATTTTGTGCATTTGATCTCCAAAACTCAAAACTTATGGGTAGATTCTCATGGAGAACATCCCCTTAAAAGAGGAAATAAAAATTAGTTTGCGCACTAGAAGATATCCATCATGTACACTACATAGAAGTAGCATGGCTTTTCTGGTGTATCATGCACATGGCGATAAGGAAAGAATATTTAAAAGAACTTACTAATTAATAACTTTCGACACCCGTATACACATTTGCAATAGATATGAGGATTCTCATAATTTTTATTAAAGATTGATTATAAACCAAATTTAAAAGTTTAAGATAGAGCCATTAAATTAAAGAAATCATATTCTAAGAATATTATTCTTATATATTTCCAATTTATATTATAAAATAGTTATGTAAGTTTTAGATTTTTTTTAGCACAAAAAAGTATAAGTGATTTATCACCTTCCTCCTCTATATTAATTTCTTCCAAATAATTATTTAGACTGTAATATTTATTTTATTTTGAAAAGTTATCTATATTTGTTTTACTCCTTAATTTCTCAATAAATCAAATGTTCTTTCTTTTTTTATAATATGATAAGAAGAAAAAAAAATTATTATACAAAAATCTTGAAGTTTTAAAGTTTGGAGCCAATTTTTTGTTTCAAATTATGTTTATGCAATCATATTAATGTATTAAAAGTTCTCAAATTATTTAAGCTTTTTCAATATAATGTTAATAACTTTTTAACTGTGTATTCTTTTTATTTCTAATTTAGTAATAATAATAATTCTGACATATCTTTTAGCTTAGTTTAGTGTTTTTAATGATTAAGATGGTGATTTTATAAATAGCCAAGTGAATTTAATGATGATTTTTAATTCATTAAACTATGTAAAATATGTAAGATAAATTGACAGTTTTGATAACTTGACTATATTTTCGATACCTTGAAATTAAAATTCTTGAGAAAATGTGAACACAAAAAAGTTACATAAAATTTATAAATTTGCAAAACATTAAACTTTTGCATAGAAAAATTAAAAATATTTTTTATTGTTCTAAATTATATGTCCATGGAAGATCTGACAATGGCAAAAAAATTTAATAATTTAATCCATTTTTTTGTTTTCTCTTTTACATAAATAATTACACTCTTCTGGAGTGCACCAAAAATAAAAGGCATGATGGTTTTACTTGAATATAACAAAAAATTCCAAACGATTCATATTAGGGCGCAACGCTTTGAAATTTTAATGGCGCCCAGCCGCGAGGATGAGGTGTCGGGTTGCTCCACGAGCCAGGTTGTTCGTCGCAATCCATCCCACATTTGCAATATTAGAACGCGTAGATCTCACGAGATTCTGGTCAGGTACGTCGGAGACTAGAGTGAATTCCAGTGGTATTGAGCGGTCTGTCCACTTTCCCTCCATCTTTCCTTCTCCACCGCTTCCCCTCTCACTCTCCCTCTCGATCGATCGATCTGCCAAACCGATATTTCAATCTTCCTTCCTTCTTTCCCCTTTAATTCTCGATCTTTCCCCTTCTTGTCGATCGATCATCCATCCAGTGAGAATAGTCCCTTCTCGATTCTCAAGATCCCCCTTGTCACTAACACTTCCACGAGAAATCTTCGATCTTTCCTTCCAGGAGTCACAACCACAATGGTGCAAGCTATGCATGTGTACCGCGTGCACCTGCGGCAAGCACACCAAGCTCTGCCATCCACGCCGCGACTCCTCATGCCCGCCATCGCCATCCACCACAACACGCATCCCCCGCCCGCGCGACGTCTCCCCGCCAGACCCCCGCCACGCCCGCCTCACCGACACCACCACCTACACCCACTTCTACTCCGCCAAGCCCTTCTCGGGCAACCCACGCACGGTCGGCACAGGCAAGACTCTCGACGCCTGCCTCCCCAGCGGCACTTACACCGACGCCAACACCGACTACAGCGCAAACTTCCGCGACTTCCACGCTCGTCCCAGGAATCCAATCACCTTCCCACCACCCCACCGCGACCAGCCATCCTTCTCCGGATCCACCACCCAAGCCAGCGACTACCGCTGGTGGCCGATCCACAAGCGCGCTCCCAATCGCCTCCTCACCGATCCAACCGGCTTTGATCCCCCGGGGACCTTCTCCGGCCTCACCACTTACAGCACCAGCTTCTGGGACGTGACCAACAAGCCCACCAGGCGGCTCGAGTTCTACAACGAGAAGGACTACGGCCCCGGCTTCGTCCCCCGCAGGCTGCCCGAGAAGCCCACACCTGATAACATCGCGTCGGCGCTGGGGAAGCTGGGTGGTCGATTCAATGCGCGGACGACTTACATGGATAAGTTCCGGGATCCCGGCGTGGAGTCGCCGCTGCGCGGGAGGCAGCTCAAGAACGCGCTGGCGGAGCCGCTCGACCGGCGGTTCGAGCACGACAGTACGTACAACACCGACTTCAAGTCGCCGCCAAGGGTCCGCCCGTGCCCCGCCGTGATGAAGCCCAGGCCAGACATTGTCACTGATAATCACCTTTGTTTCTAGCAAAACCAAAGCAGCAAAAAATGTTAGATCCAATCCAACGCATCTTTGAGATCCAGTACCTTTTGTTCGAGAGATTATTTGTATCATTGGAGGCGCGTCTAAGATGAGGAAGAGAATCGCTCCTTCAGTCTCCACACTGTTCTTCCTCGCAGGATCTCGCAGCCGCTGTCCTGCATTCTCAGGAGATGGGTGTAGTGGAGGCTTCCCTTGGTCGTGATCACCGGGTTGCCAATGTCGGGCGGCCCCAGCTCCTTCAAGTTGCTCATGGCTGCCACGCTCGACTCGCTCGGCGCTGGGCTCGTCAGAGACGTAACTATGTCGGACGCAGCGCACTCTCTCCGGTACTCGAGCGTCATGCTCATCAGCTCGTGAGCTACGAGCAGTGCCTGTGGAACGCTCTGGAATCAAAGCACAGGTTTAGCTCAAAGCTAGTCGAAAGTCAAAAAAGAAAAAAAAGAGGATTTTTACCTCGAGCACCCAGCCGATATACTTGACGTTATTGACATGCTGGTTCATATCCATGTCATGGAGCCTTGGCTGTCAAAAGCGAGCGTCAAAATGTCAGAAGCCACTCGCAAGGAAAGGAGAATAAAGGAGGCTTCGATCCGCTAGCTAGTGCTTACCACGAGATTCTTTTGTACATACATCGCAGTGTCGTCCAGCTTTACAATTTTCTGGCAAGCATCATCCTCCATTACGTGCCGGTCAAGGAAGTATGGGGATATTTCTGCGAAGACATCGTCTGGAATTTTGGAAAGGCGTCTTGTGCTCTTGTTCATCATCGCCCAGGTACTGTAAATTTCACGGTCTCAGTTTCAACAAAGATAGAAAGTAAATGCCTACCTCGTTGCTCGACAGACAGTCGCTCCAGTTGTAAAATCCCGAACCATAAAATCACGACGGATAAAATTCTTGCCAGCACCATGGATCCAAGAGTCGATCTCAACAATGTCACCCCTGCTCTAGCTTCAGAAACGCAACGAGAAAACAAAAACAGGATGCTTACCAGACTGGATATCGATCAACATCAATATGCATTCTCGTTACAACCCATATAAGACCATTTCGCATCATTGCATGTGTTGTTCCAAGCCCGTCACCAACAAAGTCCGACATGCCAACATGGTTGAGAGCAGTCTCCTGTGTAGATTTCTTATACGTTAGAAGGAAAATAAACAGAAAAGTTTGAGCAGTGCCAGAAAAAAATTTCATTCACCTGGAAGAGATTTGTAAGTGTTTCAATTGAAGCCAATCTGTCGAATCCGACTTCGTACGACCTGATAACAAATCTTTGCCGGTAGACCAAATCATTCTCCAGAAGTCTGCCCCTTTTCATCTGCGCTGATCTCTCACGTAAGCTGACTTCCTGCTGCTGCTTGTTCTTATCGACCGCGATGATTGCAGCTGCGAGCAGAGGAATGTAGTCATTAACATCGCCGTGATAGTCCTTGAAAGCCACGGACTTGTTGGATATTGTCGCCTTCAAGCTCTCGCTGCTGCTGATATGGGTCCGGGAACCGTTCAATTTCGGAACGCTGCTGACTAAATCTCTCAGACACTGCACCACTGGAGAGCATTCGTGTTGGTGTTGACACTTGAGTGAATCAGAGCCAAAAGGCCCATCTCGAGAAATTGTAGATCCAAAAAATCTACTTGCAGCAGCCTCCATCGCGTTCTCGTTGCGTCTAGCTCGTTCCTCTGACGCATCTACAAAAAGCACCAGCAGGAAATTCAGAAGAACCCAAATTTTGAAGGTACTTACAGACAATCGCAGGTATCCTCCTGCATGTACATGTGAATCAGCTGCACCACACGGGAAGCTCCCCAATCGCGGCCTGCTAAACAGCCCACCACAGGCGCTTATTGAAAGAAGAAAATCGAGAAGAGATAGAGCACAGCCCAAATGAGCTGCCTGTCTCTTTACTGTTGCCTTTGCTCCTGCCACAACTTCTCCACCTACACACCTTTAAGTAGCCTCCGCTCTGACTCCTGCAAAAGAGAAAAAGATCGTTAGACGAAGAATTCTGATTCAAAAATCAGCAGCCGTAACTGAATTTGCCCATGCAGATGTCAATGCGATCTGTTAGCACCAGAGGAAAAAGGACAGATAGATTAAGATGATTGACCAACTAATCTGATCGACCATGCAAGAAGTTCAGTTAGCTACACTGATAAGAACAAAAAAACAAATCCAACGCGCGACAGTAAGTAGGATGAAATTCTTCCTTGCCGGCATGAAGAATGGCACAGCAAGAGAAAGAGCCTCTAAAAGGTTCTATCCCTTCAACAAACCGGCTCTATGGCCCGTTTACTACGTAAATATAGACCTCGTGTACTATGATGATGGTTATCACGAACGACCAGAAACTCGTTCGTGATTTGAATACGTGCGTCTCAAGCTTGTCTGGCACCAGACCATCCAGAAGATCCGGAAGATCCAGAAGGTAAGGCAGCCCGTTGACGACTTCCTAAATACCGAAAGAAACTCCATTATTAGCTGAAAAGAATTCTTTAGAAGTTCAAACCTTCGTTGCCTCCTCCAGCTAGCGACCTTGCTCTGTTCCTGTTCCAGCCAGGAAGATTGCGTTCGGCTTCGAATTCCCAACGCTTCTCGAACTCAGGAACTTCCTCTGTAACGTTGATGACGCTGTAGTCAATGTCAGCTTAGCCAGAAAGAAAAGTACCTTCGCCCAGGTTGTGAAGTGTTTGGAGATTTTCTTCCCGTCCCTCTGCGTTGCGCTTACGAGTCAAGGAATGGCCCTGATATTAACTAAAACATGAGCCTCATTCTGACAAAAACCATAGGCACCTTGTCATGAATTCCCCTCGATACCCTGTGCGTCTCAGATTTACTAGAAGAGTCCTTTTCATGATGTTCTTCGTGAACAACCTGCGCGATCGGAGCTAGCTTAGAAAAATAACCCCACAAAGAAAATACGTACCCCATTTGGACCTCGCCTCCTTGCCGTCGAAGAGGCGTAATAGTTGCCATTCGGTCCCCCGTAGCTGAAAGACGAGCTTTGGAAAGAATACGATTGAAAACCCCCGTCATCTCGATGGTTCACGAGAGGACCCTGGTGACGGCTTGTCACCCTTTGCCTACGGTCTGGAACAAATTCACGACTGTAAGATGCTTCAAGCTTATACGTGGGAAAACCTGTAAGAAAAAATATTGTTTCCAATTGACTACTAACCAGGCCTCACATCATCGTCTGGATGCTCCACAATCGGTTCTTGGCTCGACCCAGTCGCGTGAGGATGATCGTCCTCGATTTCTTCGATAATAGGGCCTCTCCGATTCTCCTACACACCGAAGTTCTTAGCAAACTCCTCAAAAGAAAGTTTTCTCGACAGGAAAAAACTCGGACATACCTGCTGTGAATGAAAAGGCCTATTCTCCAAGAAACCGCCATGGCGTCTGTGATCGAAGGGATTATTGTCTGGAAATCCTCCAAACAAGCTCCCAAACGGCCGATTGAAGAAGGGATCGTCGAAGGGATCGCGGCCGCCAAAGAAATTTTGCATCATGCTGCCACCGAAGCCAAATCCGCCGAACCCAGCGAATGGATCAGGGAATGCGCCGCCGCCTCCTCGCCGGTAATCGCCGCTACCATCGCCGCCTCCTCCATTCGCGTTGCCGCTCCTCCCTTGGCGCTGCATAATCACTCCTCTCCTCCACACTCCAAACCTAGGGTCATGTGGAGCCACATAGGCGCTCAAGAGAAACAAATGGCCGCTCGCCACGTGTCCTTCTGGAATGCTCCACGCCGCCAGGGAATTGGAGCTTGGGGTCGTCAATCCCAATTCCAATTCGACTCTCCAGCGGCGATTCTACTTCCAATCGATCCTTGCGAGCTGCGCGCAATCGAGGGATTTGGCTCGCGGACGATTGATCCACGAGTGGATTTCTTCTTCCAGCGATTTGAGGCACGATGGAGCGCTGCTCAATATCTTGCTCCAAATGTACGCGCGATTTGGCGAATTGGCGCTCGCTAGGGCAGCTTTCGACGCCATGGAAGCGCCGGATCTCCTGTCGTGGAAGATCATCATTGGGTGCTATGCTCAGCGTGGGCATCTGGAGGAAGCGCGGTTTCTCTTTGATTCCATGCCGCAGTACGACGTGGTGGCGTGGACGACCCTAATCTCTGGCTACTCACAAAACAAATCGCTCATATCAGCTAAATCCCTGTTTGATTCTATGCCGGAGAGAAACGTTGTTACCTGGAACACCATAATGGTAGCATATGCCCGTGAAGGCCATTTGCAAGAGGCAAAATCAATCTTCAAGGAGATGCCGGAGAAGAACATATTCTCGTGGAACACTATGGTGGCGGCGTCCGTACGAATGGGTTCCCTCCCGGAGGCTAGGGCACTGTACTACGCAATGCCGGAACACGACGTAGTAACTTGGAACACAATGCTCTCTGCAAATGCCCAGGAAGGGCATTTTCTGGAATGTGAGATTCTCTTCGCTAGCATGAAGGAAAGGAATATAATTTCGTGGACAACTATGTTGGAAGCATATTCCTCGGCTTGCGACTTGCATGGTGTCGAAAGAATATTCGCAGCGATGCCGGAAAGGAATGTTGTGTCTTGGACTTGCCTTGTTCAAGCATATGCCCAGTCTGGGCATTTCGATCTTGCCGAAAAAGCGTTTCGATCGATCCCAGAGCCCAACATTGTCGCGTGGACCGCGCTTGTCGTTGTGTATGGTGACAGCGGCCGGATAGACGATGCGATCACGACGTTTGATTCAATGCCCTCGCAAAACCTTGTGTCCTGGAGCGCGATGCTCTCGATCATGGGGCAGCACCGGCGGATGATCTCTCAAGCAAAGCTTCTCTTCGATCGGATGCCCGAGTGGAACACCATGATAGCCAACACGATGATCGCAGCTTTTGTCCAGAGTGGAAACCTCTGTCGTGCAAGAGAGTTCTTCGAGGCTATGGCGGAGCACCGAGATGTAGTCTCATGGAACATGATCCTCGCGGGCTACACCCAAGAGGGTCGAGGCGAGGAAACGAGAAATCTCTTCGCAAAGATGGACCAGAGGGACATTGTCTCGTGGGCGACTGTTCTTCAATCCTACACCCAATCCGGGCAACTGGAAGATGCAAGGCGCATCTTCTTCGACGCCATGCCCGAGTGGAATCTCTCTGCCTGGACGATCATCATCACCGCCCACGCCCAATTCAAGCAGCTAGACCTTGCCGCTGATTTCTTCTTCAATCGAATGCCTGATCACGACGTTGTCTCCTCTAATGCAATGCTCTCTGGATTTATCTCTAGAGGTTTCTATGATCGAGCCAAATCTATGTTCCAGGCGATGATCCATCGAGACGTGGTAACTTGGAATATCATGATCTCTTCAAATGCCGACACTGGGCATCTTGAGGAGGCCAAAACGTTGTTTGATAGAATGCCGCGCTGGGACGCCGTGTCCTGGGCGACGATGGTATCGGCATATACTCAGGCCGGGTACCTCCAAGATGCCCGCGTCTTACTGGAGAATATGCCCCGCTGGAGCACTGTAGCATGGAATACCCTAATCGCGGGCTATGCCGCGAACGGGCATGTCGGGGAGGTGCTGGCGCTCTTCTATCGAATGCTGGATCGCGATATTATCTCCTGGAACGCGCTGATCGTCGCGTTTTCTTATAGCGGGCGTCTAGATCGCGCTAAGGTGGTGTTTGATCGAATGCTCTACCGCGACATCGCGTCCTGGAACGCGATCATTGGCGCATTCAGCCACTCCGACAGTGCTGTGGAATCGATCTGGCTGCTGCGATCGATGGAGCTGGAGGGATTCCTGCCGGACGAGTTCGCGATCGCGAGCGCCATGGCGGCGTGTAGCAGGATCGGGCTGGTTGGAGCTGGAAGGAGCTATCTGGCGCTCATGGAGGAGGATTATGGCGTGAAGCCCTCGCTGGAGCACTACAGCGCCATGGCCGATGTGTTTGGGAGGGCCGGGCAGCTGGGATTCGCCGAGGAGCTCGTCCGATCGATGCCATTCGAGCCGAGCTCCAGCGCCTGGGCGTCGATCGTGAGCTCTTGCAAGATCCACAGGGATTTCCAGCGCGGAGAGCGCATCGCGAAGGAAGCCATGCTTCGTGGCGGCAAGAGCAGTGGTTCCATCCACGTCCTTTTCGCGAATATAATCCAGGAGCAAAGTTAGGGGTCTTCATAACTTAGGGTTTTGCTACGCGAGAATGGTGAGTGTGACGATCGCGATGGCGATCTTTGGCGCTGATTCTCTGTGCGATTCTGTGCAGGCGACGCTGGCGGATTCTTTTCTTGCCGATCTCGACGATCTCTCAGACAATGAGGCGCCGGGCGAGGTAGGGGAGCGTTCTTTCGCGTATTTTGTGTCTAACCTCTCCTAATAGGCGTTTTGGCATCGCAGGAAGAAGCTGGAGAGGACGACGAGCTGGGAAAAGAGGATGTGGAGATGCCCGACGTCGAGGTAAACTACGATGATCTTAACACGGTTGCGAAGCTCCAAAACACTCCGCGGTACCATGACCTCATGAAGGTGAGTTCTTTGTTCTTGCTCTAGTTCTCTTTCGGTTATCCAAACTCCTTTTCTTTCCAGAAAGTGGACGAGGCAATCGAGTCTGGAGTTCCTGCTACCATGGCCAAGCTCTCGGAAGATGATCCAGAGTACCAGCTGATCGTGGAGTGTAACACTCTCTCTGTTGACATCGACAACGAGATAGGCGTGATACACAACTACATCAGAGATAAGTACCGGCTAAAGTTCCCGGAGCTCGAGTCCCTGGTACAGCATCCCATTGATTATGCTCGAGTCGTCAAGAGGATTGGGAACGAGATGGACCTCACCTTGGTGGATCTCGAGGGAGTACTCCCATCAGCGACGATCATGGTGGTTTCAGTCACGGCTTCTACGACCAACGGCAAGCCTCTAGCCGAAGAAGTCCTGCAAAAGACGCTGGATGCCTGTGACCGGGCCCTGGACCTCGACGAGTCGAAGAAAAAGGTGCTGAATTTCGTGGAGAGCAGGATGGCCTTCATCGCGCCAAACCTGTCGGCCATACTGGGAAGCGCGGTGGCAGCAAAACTGATGGGAACGGCCGGTGGTCTCTCGGCTCTGTCGAAGATGCCGGCGTGCAACGTACAGATCCTCGGCGTCAAGAAGAAGAACTCGGCAGGCTTCTCGTCGGCTACGCTCAATCCTCACACCGGCTTCATCTTCCACTCGGAGATCGTCCAGGGCAGCCCGCCATCGCTGAGAACTCGAGCTGCTCGTCTCGTGTCCGGGAAGTCGACGCTGGCGGCCCGTGTGGACGCTACAATGGGAGATCGTCTCGGGCAAACTGGACGGGCTTTCAGGGAGGAGATACAAAAGAAGATTGAGAAGTGGCAGGAGCCGCCTCCGCCAAAGCAGCCCAAGCCACTCCCGGTGCCCGACTCGGACCCAAAGAAGAAGCGAGGAGGGAGGCGATTGAGGAAGATGAAGGAGAGGTATGGCCTCGTCGTGAGCTGGTTTGCGACCAAGTTACGAGCTTGTTTCCTTGCTTTAAGGTACGCGATGACGGACATGCGCAAGCTTGCCAACCGGATGAGCTTTAACATCCCGGAGGAGAGTTCACTGGGAGACGGGCTGGGTGAAGGCTATGGGATGCTCGGCCAGGCAGGGAGTGGCAAGCTGAGGATATCGGCTGGACCGAGCAAGCTTTCGACCAAAGTGAAGAAGTAAGATCTCTTCTCTCCTCGCGTTTGCCAGCTTTTGAGAGACTTGGGCTGATTCTCTGTGTTTCGATTTGAAGGTTTAAAGAGAAGAAGTATGGGAGCAGTGGAGCTACGTCTGGTCTCACCTCTAGTTTAGCATTCACGCCGGTTCAGGTACTCCTCTTTCGTTTTTGTTCTTAGGGAAATGGTGGTTTTCTTTTCGGTTCTTCGGCAGGGTATCGAGCTCTCGAATCCATCAGCGCAAGCTGCATTGCTTGGAAGCGGTACCCAATCAACGTACTTTTCGGAAACGGGGTCTTTCTCGAAAATCAAGAAGATCGTGTAGAACCTTTGTATGAGAATTTGTATGAACTTTCATGGTTTGATGTAGGAATTCCTAGCATGAACGCTCGTTTTAATTAATATCAAAACCGTTGCTACAAAACCTTGTTTACTATCTAAAGCACTGCTGGTCTAGTGGTAGAATAGTACCCTGCCACGGTACGGACCCGGGTTCGATTCCCGGGCAGTGCATTCTATTTTTGGTTAACCTAGTAAAAGCGGTATTATCAGAATTATACTTAACTCAATAAACACTGCACTGCCCGGGAATCGAACCCGGGTCTGTACCGTGGCAGGGTACTATTCTACCACTAGACCAGCAGTGCTTCACACACTAATCAAGGTTATGTTAACAAATCTTTTCGATCTCTTAAAGATGTATGGCCATTGATCAGAGATGGGCGACGCTTGGGCCTTTCAGGGAGCGATTAGAGCGAGTGAGCAACCTCTCTATTCAGCAGGCATCTTCCACCTATGCCTCTTTGCTGCGGAACTGCACGGACATGGCACAGGGGAAAGAGATCCATACGAAACTGATAGACTCCCGCTTTGACACCGATACTTTCCTCGGGAACTTGCTCGTCCAGATGTATGGAAACTTTAGCAGTCCCATGGACGCCCAAGCAGCGTTTGATCGGATCCAGCAGCCCAATGTTTTCTCCTGGACTCTGCTTCTTACAGCATATGCCCATAACGGGGATCTGGACACTGCTAGAGATGTTTTTGAGAGAATGCCTTCCCAGGATTTGGTTTCGCGGACGACCATGCTCGTTTCCTACACCAAGAACCAGAAATTTTCAGAAGCTAAAGAGTTCTTTGACAAGATGCCAGAAAAGAATGTAGTAGCATGGAATAGCTTGCTTACTGCTTATGCCAAGAAATGGCATTCTGCGGAAGCCATGATTCTTTTCGAGCTTATGAATTTGGAAGGAGTAAAGCCGAGCTCTCTCACTTTCACTGGGATTTTCGGTGCGTGCGGGGTCCTTCCCGCTGCTTTTACAAACATGGTGGTGGAAATCGCCATCGAAAGTGGCTACTTGACGAATCCTTTCGTGGCGAGTGCCGTGATACACTTGCTGGGACGACAGGCAGGGTCTCTTTTCAAAGCTCGCCAACTGTTTGACAACATTTCTTCTCCCACTGCTGCTGCTTGGAATGCAATGGTGGCGGCGTATGCATGGAATGGGCTTTTCACGGAGGCGTACCGGGCTTTTTGTTTGATGGACTTGGAAGGCGTCCAAGCGGACGACATCTCCTTCCTCAACGTTCTCGCGTCTTGCGAGTCTTTGAGCATCGCCCTCGTCGTTCAATCGGAGATCCAAGCCTCGGCAACGAAAACCTCTCGTTCCAGAGTTCTCGGAACCGCATTGATCACGTCTTATGCGAAGTTTGGCGATCTAGAAGCTGCAATCGCTGTGTTTTATGATATCCACGAGCTCGAACGCGATGTCGTTGCTTACACGGCCCTGGTGGGAGCTTACTCCATGCATGGATTCAGCGAGAAGGCCATACAGCTCTTTTGCTTCATGGATCTTCAAGGGATGAAAGCCGACGAGGTTGTGTACGTGAGTCTCTTTGATGCTTGCTCCAAGGATCCGGGATACTTGAGGCAAGGCCGGATACTACACGAATTCTTGGTCGAAAGTGGGGTTCCTCTGGATGTGATCCTCGCTACATCGATTTTGAGCATGTATGGGAAATGCGGGAGCGTTGCAGATGCATGGAAAGTTTTCGAAACTGTGAGCAGTAGCAGCAATCCAGTTACTTGGAACTCCATGATCTCCACTTTGTCTCGCGGCGGTCACTGCGACGAAGCGCTCCAGCTCTTTCGAGAAATGAGCTTGGAAGGCGTCGCGGGGACTTTGAGCACCTTGGTGAGCGTCTTGGAAGCTTGCACTAGAGTTGAAGATTTGCCACAGGTCCAGCTTCTCCATGCCATCGCTAAAGGTCTTGGAATGGAGGCTCATCTAGCAGCGTCATTGGTCACGGCTTATGGCTTTCGCGGGGATCTACATCAAGCCAAGAGCGTTTTTGAGAGAACCAAGGCTCTGGATGTGGTCTTGTGGACTGCTATGGTGGCTGTTTATACCAAGAGTGGGCTTCCTTGTAGCGCTGCGAAGACTTTCCAGGAGATGGAGCTGGAAGGCGTAAAAGCTGACGAAGTATCACTCATGGCCGCCATCGAAGCGTTGGACTTGAGGTTTGTCCATGCGAGAGTCGTGGAGATGGGATTAGAATCGCTGTGGAGTGGAATCATCGACCTGTATGGAAAAGCTGGCGAGCTCGAGCGAGCTCGTGAGGTCTTTTGGAGCGTGAGCGAGAGCCAAAGAAAAGCCGTGACTTACAATGCGTTGATTGGGGCCTACGTCCAGAGTGGCGATTGCGAGGGAGCTCTCAGAGTTTCCAGGCTCATGGATCAAACTGGTGTCAAGCTCAACGATATCAGCTACCTGGCAATGATCGATGCTTGTGCCGGCATGGGGAATTTGCCGCAAGCCAAGTCTCTCCACTCCCGGATCCTGGGAGACGCCACCATTGCAAGCAAGAACACCAGGAACAAGCTTGGAAACGCGTTAATCTCCATGTACGGCCGGTGTGGAGACTCGAGTGCTGCCGTACTCGTGTTCCGGGATCCGTGGATGGAACACCATCGTGATATCGTGTCCTGGAACTCGATCCTCGCTTGCTACGCTCAGAATGGAAGAAGCGAGGAGTCTGTGGAGATGTTTTGGGAGATGAGGCTGGATGGATCTTGTCAGCCGGATGCCATCACCTTTAGCACTCTTTTGAGTGCTTGCAGCCGTGCTGGATTCGTGGATCACGCTCACCATTGCTGGCTTTGGCTGCGAGAGATTGATCCTTTGGGCGTGGCAACTGGTGTGGAGCATTACGTGTGCATGGTGGATGTTCTTGCTCGGTCGGGACAAGTTGGCAAGGCCGAGGATTTGATCCACAGCATGCCATACGAGCCTGATGATCTGGTGTGGATGACTTTGTGTGGATCGAGCATGCACAATAAATCTATCATGCCAAATGAAAAATCAGTAAGTTTGTTTATAAATAATAGTTCATTTTAATAATAAACACCATGGTTATTGAAACTAGTAGCCAGAGATTAACTGTAGCTCCCTAAAATTACCACTTGTGTTTGAAAACGTGTTTGGAAGTCTTGAATGAAAACTTTGTAAAGGGGAAGGTTGTCATTGCTGTTTAGAATTAGCATTACAAGCCCATCTGGGGAATACAGTTTGTCACCACTGAAATGAGGCCAACCACATAAATAACATTGTTTCAAACATATAGAATTACTATTCCAAGAAAGAATTTGATGACTTGGAGGACTAGGTGGACTTGGAACATAGATCACACAGTACTCTAACACGAACATTCCACTCAAATATTTACTACTGCTCTGTAAATATCC